GGAGCAGAGGGTTAATTTTTTAAAAATTAGGAGAGCAAAGAGGGGATATGAAGAAACACCGGCAGATAAAATAAATGAAAATCCAAAGGTATTTAGAAGAGGCAAGCGGATAACCAGAGAAAGAATAGGGCACATTAGGGACCAAAGTGGCAATCTGTGAGTATAGCCAGGAGACATAAGAGGTTTTAAATGAAAACTTTGCATCTGTATTCACTGAGGAGAAGGATTGGGGCTGGTTAGTTCAGTTTGCAGGACAGCTGGTTTGCAATGCAGAGTGATAATAACAGCACGGATTCAATTCCGGCACTGGTTGAGGTTAACATTAAGGTCCTGTCTTCTCAACCTCAACCCTTGCCTGAGGTATAGAGACCCTTTGGTTAAACTCACCACCAGTCATCTCTATTTAATGAGTGAGCAGCCCTATAGTCTGCTACGACTGAGGTGATTTTACCTTTTATAGAAGGATGTAGGTATAGATATCAGAGAGGCGGATATAAGTGAAAAGGTTACGTGAAGAGAGACAAGATAGGCTGGGATGGCTTTTCTTAGAGTAGAGAAAGCAGAGGGGCATGTGATTTGAGGTGTACGAAATTATGAGGAGTATAGATATGATAGATAGGAAGGAACATTTCCCCTTAGTAGAGAGGTTAATAAACAGGTAGCATAGATTTAAGCTGAGGGGGTGATTTAGAGGGGAATTAATAAAGAATTGAACGTTCAGAGAATGTTGGGCATCTGGAACTCACTGTCTGAAAGAGTGATAGAGAAGGGACCCATCATAAATTTAAAAACTATTTAGGTTAATACTTGAAATGCCATAACATGCAAAGTGACAAACCAAATGCTGAACCTGGGTGGAGTAATATGTGTAGATAGATGCTCGATGACCAACATAGATGTGATGGGCCAAAGGGCCGCTTTCTGTGGAGGGACTGAGTCAGGAGATCATGCAGCCAAAGGTCCAGGAACTGTCCAATGTAATTGTACTTGTTGTGCTTGGTGGACGTTAGCAAATCTTCCAAATCTACACATACTGCATGAAAACCTTTGAATTTTTAACAGTGTACTGTTTATAAATAATGCTGAACAGCTTCATGTTATCATTTCTCAATTATGATAAAAAATAAATTTTTAACCTTCTTTCAAACAAGTTTTTGATTATCCCATTGAGCACAGGAAACTTTTTTTGACACTTGTTATAAAGCAATGCCAAAAATGATGTAGGAAACAGATGCAATAGTAATCTCCTGAAGGGAATTAAATGACTACTTGAAGGGGAGAAAATTGCTGGACTATGTGGAAAGTGAGTATAGACTGGGGATTGGATAACATGTTTTCACCAGGCGAGCAAATTCCTGAACAGCCCACAATCTTACATCCTCCATCAACTTGAGTTTTTTCAAGACTTGGCTTGCTGACTTACCCTGGATCTCAATTAAGCAATGCCTCCATTTTTAAAACTCTCATCATTGCTTTCAAATCCTTTGATCACCCCGTCTCTCCCTGTCACTATTATTTCATAAGAATATAAAAGTAGGAGCAGGAGTAAACAATGTAGTCCCCTGCTCTACCATTTAATACGATCATAGGTGATCTCATCTTGGTTTCAGTTTTACTTTCTGCCTGCTCTCCCTAACACTTCAACTCCTTGCTCATTAAAATTCTATCTATCTTTTCCTTAATTTATTCAATGTCTCATCATCCACCACACTCTGGGTTGGTGAATTCCACAGATTTACGACACGGAGAGAAGTAAATCTCCTCATCTGTGTTTTAAGTTGCTACCCCTTATTCTAAAACTGTGACCATTTGCTCCAGCTCCCTCTGAGATATCCACATTCCACTAATATTGGCCTTTTGAATATCCCTAATTTTAATTGCTCCACCGTTGGCAGCCATGCCTCCAAATGTGAAGACCTTAAATTGTTGAGTTTAAGGTCTTCGCATTAAGGATTATTAGACCTCTCTTTACTCTACTACCTCGCTTTTTCCCTCATTTCCTTGGCCATGCTTTGAATCATTCACCCTAATATCTCCTCAATCTGGTTCCAAAATGAATTTTTCACTCTAATGTCTTGAGACTTGTGATTACATGAAATAGAAGCTATTGTTGTATGAATGATAATTCCAGCCTGTCCTTTGCCCCATCAGGTGCTGCGAGAATTTTGTAAGCAGGTCTAATTTTTGCCAGTGATGAGTTAAAGAATTGAATCAATGTTTGACTGCTTTTATGGGAATTTCTTCCAAACCTCCTTCCATCTCCAGTTAACTTTTTAAACTTTAAATTGTGGTTTAAAGCCAATATTTGGTTTTGTTTATCCTTTAGATAGTTTTCCGCACCTGCAGTGAATTACATTAGAGTTGATCCATCCCAGCCCATTTCCAGTCTGTATCTATTACTATACATAGTGCCTTTTGCTGTTGGAATTGTCATTGTGCACAATTAAATCAGTGACTTGTTTTATTTACACTCATTTTTAAGAATTTGTTCAAGGGCATTACTGCTTGGGTCAGCATTTTTTGCAAATCCTTAGTTTTCCTTCAGAAGATAGTGGTGAGCTGCCTTTTTCAACCACTGTAGTCCTTGGTGTGTCATGACACCCACAGTGCTGTTAGGAAGGGATATCAGGATTTTGATCCAGCGATACTGACAAAACAGCGTTACGATCCCAGCTCATGCTACTACTGGACAAGTCAGATCCCAAAATGAAATCTACTTAGATCTTTTTCAGTTTAACACTGTGGTCATTCGCAGAAACACATGCGGACAAGGCTACAGATTTCTCTAATAATAAAACAGAGGTTTATGACATACAAAGGGAAAAATAAAATAAGCAAAGCCATCTAAATATAGAACACAGTTTGACTAAACTTAAAACATACAAGATAAAGTCTAATCTATTCACCAATATCATCAATGTACCCAATTTCACTTCCAGGGAAATTATCCTTCTATACCAAGTCTTCAGCTTTGACTTAACTGCCAAACCCTACTTCTGTCCTGTGAACTGTGAAGATGTTTCAATGTGTACGTATAACATGGAAAGCTCAGATATTCTCAATCTTTTAATAATCTGCCTATTTATAAGCAACCTTTCCTCGTCTGGAACTTTCAGAGGCTAAACATTTATATCAAGGTTACTGAGCTCTCCCTGAAATGTACAATACTCCTATCTAGGAGAGAAACTATATTTGACTCTCATCCTCTTGACTCTGATCCTATCAGGTCTACTCCAAAACTGTACCAAAAAGCTTTTAATTTCTGTGCTTTTCTAAGCTAAAATCATTCCTTGGTTATCCTGAACCAAAAGGAAGCTCATACCTTCCAATATTTTAGCCTGTTGTAAGCCCCCAGTATAAAAAACAATCTCCCATTAACACTCGAGGAGGCTTGCAATCACCTGCTATCTGACACATATTAGATTAGGTCATGGACTGGAAGAGCTCTCTGACCTTGTTTCTTTTGTTTAATTCTTTCACCAAAGCAATCAGCACCCATATGGCACTAGTTTGAAATCTAAACTCTAAAAATGATATTATGTATCTATATTAAACAAATCACACAGCTCTCATTACAACGATGATATATATAAAGTCTGGCTGGTGTGAAGCTTGGTGGAGAACGTGTAGGCAGTCATGCTCCCAAGCATCTACTGCACTTGTCCTTCTTGGAGGTCATGGGTTTGGAAGTGCTGTTGAAGGAGCCTTGGTGAGATGTAGGAGTGCATCTTATAGACGGTACACACTACTACTACTGTGCATCAATGGTAAAGGAAATTAATGTTGAAGGTAGTCTTATAACTTTTCAATTAGCTAGTGAGTTGGGGAGGCAAGCCTCAAGGAGCTCTCGCTTCTGATTAGAAGCGCTCAGATGATGAAGTACAAACCACTCAGGGGAGAGTAGCAGATGGGTAGTTTGACTGGGGCAATTGTAACAAAGGTGTCCTAAAGTGAGCTCAAGCAAAATAGAAGCCTCTCGTGGAGCAGAATCATAGAATCCCTACAGTGCAGAAAGAGGCCATTCAGCTCATCAAGTCTACAGTGATTTTCTGAAGAGCAAGCCACCCAGACTCAGCTTCTTCTGCCCTATCCCGTAACATCCCTATCACATAACCTCGCTCAATCTTTATGTTTATTATGAATATTCAGTTCAGTGTAAACTTTTCCTATTTTGCTAATTCTACCATCTCAGGCATGGTTGGAAATGTCAGGTCGAGGGGAATGGATTAAAAATAGTTTACAGGATCATCTTTAAGGTAACTTCTTTAATTGGGAGAGAAATAGCTTAGAAACAAAAGGAAGCTGATATGTTGATATGAGTTCTGTGAAGTTTGAATATCAACGTTTAAGCTTCAAGTAATTAGAACTCTATCTTGTTTATTCTGCAGACTGATCGCCAGGGAAAAACATCTCTCATGCAGTGCCAGGCCAGTTCAAACTGGTTCTGTCTCATTGTCCAGCTGCAGCTGTGAAATTGTTCCTTACTGAAACACTCATTCATTACTTTGATTCCTAGATTTAATATATAACAATACATACACTAAATAGTAGAAGCCATTCAGCCTCTTGAACTTACTTTGTCATTCAGTTAACTGGTAGCTGATCTGTATCTAAACTCCATTTAAACACTGAATGCGTTGAAGGAAAACAGAAATTGCTGGAAAAGTTCAGCTGGTCTGGCAGCATCTGTGGAGAGAAAACAGTTAACGGCTTGGGTCCAGTGACCATTCTTCAGACATGAGTGCATTGAGGTGGAATTCCTCAGGGAAGATGCTGATTGTATCAGAAGGCGAGAGAGTATTCCACAAGGAATATGTGGGGAATGTCAGATAAGGTGAAATTCCCCAGGTACCAGGTTGCATGGGTCAGGAAAGGACTTTGCTGCCGTGAAATGGATTTCAAATTGTTGATTCTGTAACTGTAGCAAACAAGGTTCTGAGCTTTTATTGTAAACTTTAGGCTTTAAGTAATTGAATTCTTGATCCTTCTTTTGCCCCCAGCTCTTTCGTCGCCCTCTGCAACATCTGTCAAAGAAGATCGTCCAGTCGAAGTTGAACAGCACCATTGTTGGGGTGTTTACCATCTCCCTGGTATTCCTGTCAGCATTTGTTAATATGGTAGGTGGAGTCTGAATGAGGGGAGCCTATGTTCTACAACAGCAACATCACATTACAAATCATGGCAGGGAGGTACCCCAAAATCAGAACTGGGATAACACAGAGTAAGGAATGTGTTAGAGCCAGGATAACAGAGTTTGTAGTATGTTAGATCCAGGATAACAGAGGGTGCAATGCATTAGAAACAAAAACAGAAATTGCTGGAAAATCTCAGCAGATCTGGCAGCATTTTTGGAGAGAAATCAGAGTTAACGTTTCAGGTCCAGTGACCCTTCCTCAGAACTGATGGTGGCTAGAGTCAGCAGTGTGCTAGACCCACAATAACTTAAAATCTTTTAAACCAAGGGGTAACGCAGAATTTTGGATGTGTTAGAATGTGTTTATGACACCAAAACCTGCATGACAATGTGGAAATTGCTCAGGCATGTCCCATGCGTAAAAAGCAGGACAAATTTCAACCTAGTCAATTACTGCCTAATCTGAAATAACTCTACAGAGGCCAGTCACGTTTTATTTATATTTGCATATTACTTGACACTGGTCCAGCTTCCTCAGAGCCAGCTCTCAGAATGAACAGAACCTCTAGTACTCCTGTTTATATCTGTCAGCCAGGGATTCCTGATTGGACCAGATTAACAGCCCCAATCAGGGAACCCATATTCTAAGAGGTCCATCTAGCTGACCTTGTTACAATCACTACATAATCAGGCTACTCTCAATCATCAGTAAAATGATGGAAGGAGGTACAAACAGTGGCACTTGTAAAGGAATAACTTCCTCACTGATGCTCTGTTTGGTTTCCATCAAGACTACATTATTCCTGACCTTATTACAGCCATGGTCCAAACATGAACAAAAGAGCAGGACACCAGAGAGGAGTTGAGAGTGAGCATACAACTGAGTGCGACATCAAGAAGTGTTAGCAAAACTGTAATCAAAGGGAATCAGAGAAAATACTCCGCAGGTTGAAGTCATACCTAACACATAGGAAGATGGTTGTCTTTGTTGGAAGTCAGTCAAACCAGCTCCAGGACATCTCTGCAGGAGTTGGTCAAGCTAGTGTCGTTGGCCCAGCCATCTTCAGCTGCTTCGTCAATAACTTCCCTCCATCATAAGATCAAAGTGGGGATGTTCACTGATGATTGCATAATATTCAGCACCAGTCATGTCTCCTTAGATACTGAAGCAGTCCATGTCATTATCAGCAAGACCTGGACAACAGTCTGATAAACAGCAAGTAACATTCGTGCCATACAAATGCCAAGCAATGACCATCTCCAATAAGAGAGAATCTAACCAGTGCCCCTCTACATTCAATGGCATTACCAACACTGAATCCCCCGCTACCAACATCTGTTAACCAGAAACTGAACTTGACTAACCGTATAAATACGGTGGTTACAAGAATAGGTCAGAGGCTAAGAATCCTGCAACAAGTCACGTACCTCCTAAGTTCCTAAAGCCTGTTCACTACATACAAGACACAAGTGAGGAGAGTCAGAGATAGTAAGAATTGCCAATGCTGGAGTCAGAGATAACACAATGTGGACCTGGAGGAACACAGCAGGCCAGGCAGCATCAGAGGAGTACGAAAATTGACATTTCGGGTTGGGACTCTTCTTCAGGAAAAAAATGGATAGAGGAAAGTAATGGATTATTCCCCACTAGCCCGGATCAAGGCAGTTCGAACAATACTCAAGAAGTTCGACACCATCCAGGGCAAAACAGCCTGCCTGATTGACACCGCATTCATCACCTTTATCATTCACACCCTTCATCACCAATGCACAAAGCAGCAGTGTTTAATTAGGGAAATGCAATGAAAGCTGGCCCAGCCAGTGATGTCTACATCCCCTTAATGAACAGAAAGTCACAGATAACACAAAGTATGGAATGTATCACACTCGAATATTATTCTCATGGAATTATAACAGTGACTACACTTCCAAAGTACTTTTTTGGTTCTAAAGTAGTTTTGGGATGAGGTGGTGAATGGGGCTCTATTAATATAAATCATTCTTTCATGTATAGTTCATTTCCCCTTTACAAAGAATGAATATCCTCAACATCTAAGGACACCAGCCACGGATGAAATATAGGGAATAGAATTATCACACAATAGAAGGTTTACAATTACACAATCCCTTTGGACCTCTTTAACTGAAATTAATTCAGCTCCTCATACTGTTGGGATCATTAATTCCTCTCAGTAGCCCCCCCCTCCTTCCCTCTCCCTGCCCTCTCCTCTCCCCTCCACTTCATGTTACGGGAATATATTGCAACTGATCTCATTCCAGCTCTCTGCTGTTGTCTGGGCCAGCGACCTCTTCTAACATCCTGTGTTATTGAGTAATTCACTTCAGATCTTACTGCAGTTCCCTCATGTCAGGCTGTGTAACTCTCCCACCAGAATGCTGTCTTATTTATACATGGAATTGCATAGCGCAGAAGGCAGCTATTGAGCCCTTTGGCTTTTTCGAAGCACTATCCAATTAGTCACACTTGTTCCTGCTCTGTCATGCTGTGCTACTTGACTTTAAATCCTAAATTCAAACCAACACTCTTACAAATGCATCCATGGAGGTAGGCTTAAACTTTGTGATCCTCCATGAGCTCCCAGTTTACAACTTGCCCGACCTTCTTTTCCAATCAGACAATGCAAATTAAAATTAACTTCCAAAACCTAAACCACATATGCAAATGATTCTGCACTCATACCCGCACAAACCCATAGCACTCATGCGCACATAGGCAGGAACGCACATGTATACGTAAGCTCACATACAAGTTGTGGATATACCCTCACACACAGACCCAAACTGAAACAATTGTTCAATCAAATGGAAATATTTCTCCATCTATAAGACATCGGAGCAGAAGCAGGTCATTTGGCCTATCAAATCTGCCGTGCCATTCAGTGAGATCATGGCTGATCTAAAAATCCTCAACTCCACTTCCTGCCTTACCTTTATAATCATTAATCCCCTTACTAGTTAAAAATCTGACGTCACCCATGAATATACATAATGGCCCAGCCTCAACCACCCTCTCCGGTAAAGAATTCCACAGGTTCACTACCCTCTGAGAGAAGAAATTCCTCTTCATCTTTGTCTTAAACGGATGACTCCTTTACTCTGAGATTATGCCCTCTGGTTTCCCAAAAGGGGAAACAACCTCTCCATATCTACCCCAAGAATCTTACATGTTTCAATAAGGCCTCCGCTCATTCTTCTAAGCTAGAATGAGCCCCAGTTTCCAATAATCTCTGTAAAACACAGAAAGAACTTGCATTTTTATACTGTCTCTCATGCTGTCAAGACACCCTTCCATGAACTTTACAGGAAAAGATGTACTTTTTTAGGAAATGTGGCCACACAGTCAGCTGCAACAAACAGCACTAGGATAATGACCTGAAAATCTCTTTCACTGATTTTGGATGAGGGATACATGTTGTCCATGACACCGAAGAGAAATCCCCTGCAAATCGTCACTTAGTGCCGTGGGATCTTTGACACGCATCTGGAAGGGCAGACGGGCCTTCACTTTGATGTGTCACTCAAAAGACAGCAGCTCCAACAGCGCAGCACTCCCAGGGTACCTGAATTATCAAGGTTACAGGGCTGGATTTGACATTGGTAATGTTTTGATGCTTCATTGCTGACTTCCAAAATACTATCTAGTTAAATTTTACCTCAAAGAAATTCTGCTTCTTTCCTGTAAGGCTTAGTCCCCTTGGCCTCAGGGAGACTTAGTAACCAATAGAACTTACTAACCCACACATGCTGGAAATAGAAAGAAAGTGAACAAATAAGGACACCAAAAACAAAATAGATTCCCAGATATTCTCCAGCCTGTTTAATTCTGCATTTGGTGTCATTTGTGATGAATAATTAATTTAAGTCTCCCTTCAGTCTATAAACAATGGTCTCAAAAGTGTCCCTAGTCAGGTACTCAAGGGTATTTTTGTCTTGCTGGCTATGTATCCTCATACATCCAAGGATCCGGTTGCAAACATGAGAACCCCTCTATGTCTACCTCAGGGCCTCAACTGGCCCAAACACTTGCCCTCAGTGTGTGCACTAGCAGGGGTTTAATTGAGCAGGTGGGAATGATAACCATGTCATTATGCCCAATTTGACACATCCCTTCCCTTGCCTTCCACTTGCCAACCTGTCTCTGGGCGAGAGTAGAATTCTGCAATACCTAATTACTACCCCGATTCCCATCAACTCTTTCTGTCTTTTGTCCTTACTGGAAAGGAAATTCAGCTGGTGGTGTATAACCGGGGTTGTGGACTAAGGGGTGGGTGCAACTGATTCATAATCACCCTTTTTTTTTTCATCATCGCCAAATACCACCTTCAATCCCAGAGGCTGTACACAAACCATTTGCCAAAACAAGATGGCTTAAATGTTGTCTGGCAAGAGCTGAAGGTTGGAAACTTACCAATTCGTAGCGCAGAGGCTTTTGCTGTCCTGTCTTTGGGCAGAATTGTACATTCTACCAGTGGCAGGTTGCCAGGTGGTTGAGGGAAAGGGAATTGGGTGTAATACCATGGTTGTTTTATGGATTAGGGGTCAGGTGGCCCATCTGCCATCTAGTCAATTGAGTCTATTAGCTTTTTCTTCATTCATTCATGGGATGTGGGCATTGCTGGCTGGGCCAGCATTTATTGTCAATCTCTAGTGGTCCTTGGGGAGGTGGTGCTGAGCTACCTTCTTAAATCACTGCGGTCCTTAGAGAGTAAGTACACCCACAGTGCTGTTAGGGAAGGAGTTCCAGGATTTTTGACCCAGTGACATTGAAGGAATGGCAACATACTTCCAAGTCAAGATGGTCCATGGCTTGGAAGGGAACTTGCTCCTTCTAAAGCCTCTTCCTGATTAACTGCAAATTTTCCCACAGTGCATGGTGGCTAGTGCCAGGATTGAAATTGGCCACACCCCATTCCTTGAGCCGGTCTC